TCAAAACGCATATTAACGGAGATAGGTTTGGCTCAGGGGAATTTTAAAGCGCATTTTCACATAGCTATCATAGCACTGAAGCCGTATGCAAATGAATCCTTGCCCGTCTCTTTCAATATAAATTACACTACGCTTGTCCGGATTTCGGAGTCAACTAAAGCTAGACTTGACACTTAGAAAATTTTTGGCTGATCGAAAAAATTTTTTCGTCATAGACCGACTTAGGAAGGTTCAAAACGCATATTAACGGAGATAGGTTTGGCTCAGGGGAATTTTAAAGCGCATTTTCACATGGCTATCATAGCACTGAAGCCGTATGCAAATGAATCCTTGCCCGTCTCTTTCTGTATAAATTACACTACGCTTGCCCGGACTTCGGAGTCAAGTAAAGCTAGACTTGACACTTCGAAAATTTTTGGCGATCGAAAAAATGTTTTCGTCATAGACCGACTTAGAAAGGTTCAAAACGCATATTGACGGAGATAGGTTTGGCTCAGGGGAATTTTAAAGCGCATTTTCACATGGCTATCATAGCACTGAAGCCGTATGCAAATGAATCCTTACCCGTCTCTTTCAATATAAATTACACTACGCTTGCCCGGATTTCGGAGTCAAGTAAAGCTAGACTTGACACTTAGAAAATTTTTGGCTGATCGAAAAAATTTTTTCGTCATAGACCGACTTAGGAAGGTTCAAAACGCATATTAACGGAGATAGGTTTGGCTCAGGGGAATTTTAAAGCGCATTTTCACATGGCTATCATAGCACTGAAGCCGTATGCAAATGAATCCTTGCCCGTCTCTTTCTGTATAAATTACACTACGCTTGCCCGGACTTCGGAGTCAAGTAAAGCTAGACTTGACACTTAGAAAATTTTTGGCTGATCGAAAAAAATTTTTCGTCATAGACCGACTTAGAAAGGTTCAAAACGCATATTAACGGAGATAGGTTTGGCTGAGGGCAATTTTAAACCACATTTTCACATGGCTATCATAGCACTGAGCCGTATGCAAATGATTCCTTGCCCGTCCCGATTACTATAAATTACACTACGCTTGCCCGTCCATTACTATAAATTACACTACGCTTGCCCGTTGCCCGGAATTCGGAGTCAAATAAATTTTTGGCTGACCGAAAAAAATTTTTCGTCATAAACCGACTTAGAAAGGTTCAAAACACATATTAACGGAAATAGGTTTGGCTGAGGGGAATTTTAAAGCACATTTTCACATGGCTATCATAGCACTGAAGCCGTATGCAAATGATCCTTGCCCGTCTCTTTCAATATAAATTACACTACGCTTGCCCGGATTTCGGAGTCAAGTAAAGCTGGACTTGACACTTAGAAAATTTTTGGCTGATCGAAAAAAATTTTTCTTCATAGACCGACTTAGAAAGGTTCAAAACGTATATTAACGGAGATAGGTTTGGCTCAGGGGAATTTTAAAGAACATTTTCACATGGCTATCAATGCACTGAAGCCGTATGCAAATGAATCCTTGCCCGTCTCTTTCAATATAAATTACACTACGCTTGCCCGGATTTCGGAGTCAAGTAAAGCTGGACTTGACACTTAGAAAATTTTTGGCTGATCGAAAAATTTTTTTCGTCATAGACCGACTTAGAAAGGTTCAAAACGCATAATGATGAAGAAAGTTTTGGCTCAGGAGAATTTTAAAGCACATTTTGACATATAAACTTTCATACAGTATACGTATGCGAATGAATCTTTACCCGTATATTATCAGTATAGATTTTGCGGCAACGCTTACCCGTTGCTCGGTTTGTTGAGTCAACTAAACCTGAGCTTGTAGGCTTAGAAAATTTCGACCAAAGTTTGCTTTGACTCAGAAAATTTCGGGCTGAGTAGGCTTTGAATTTATATACGAACATTATAGTAAAAGAAACGGCAACTTTCTGTCCATTTATTTGCGGCTGTCTGCCCGTTTTCAAAATATAGTTTCGTACACAAATGCCGTTGTCAAGATTGTGTACACTGTAAGTAAAAGGTTTACCTCACGATATCTTTGTCGATTGCATTCAACTCAAGCTTCTTCGAAAAATATAAACTCTAGAAAAAATACTTGTATTGCCAAACATTTCGTCATACCACCACCACAAAGTTGCCATTTGTTGAACAGTCACAAGTTTTTGAGTAAAAACAGTGTTTTTGAAAGCTGTAAAACAACTTCGCTGCTTCTTTTTCATTCTGTTCCAGTGTGACCAGATTTTTTCAGCAGTCATTACCAAAATTTTGTTCAAATTTTCCGAAATTAAGAACAATTTTACCAAATGTCGGCTTCGCAAATAATGACGTCATAATGCCAAAAAACAATAGTGACGTCATCAAAGTATAGAAGTGAAAAATATGCCCAAAAAGATATCTCAAAATACTTGTTGCTTTCATCGTATTGCAGTTTTTGCTAATGATAAGGCTTTATTTCTTTGGCTTGGCAGTTCTGTTCATCACTTTGAGCACGTTATTAAACAAGAAACACACATTTTTACCAAAATGATTATTACTTTCAAACTTTAAAACTATTAAAACTTTCAGATTTTACCAAAATTTTCCCAAAAAAAACCTCTTTACCCAAATTTTCTTTAAAGTTCACGAAATTTTACCAAAAGTAAAACTTTTTACCAAATCTGGTCACACTAATCTGTTTTCGTGTTCTGTTTTATAGGATAAACACGCATGCGTTGAAAAATGCTTTTCAACTCCAAAATAATTCGAAGTTCATTTGATTGGCTGGGATTTTGTTCTCAAATTTAATTATTCAAGCACTGCCTAAAATTCCAAAATTGATTTTAATATTTAAATGACTTTGCCGCTTGGTTCACGTATATTTTTTTCTTGAAACTTTCAAAATACTTAAATCCATGTCTGAAATGTTCAATTTCAGTTGCCTGTTACTTGTTAAACAATAATTCTCCCATCTACCCCATTCTATCCCTAGTTTGGACACTTACTTTCCAGCCAATCAAGAACGTTCTTATATTACATTTATTTTAAAAACAAATTTAACCATTTAACCTTGGGTTAACCCTGGGTTAACTAACCGCACCTCTACTAGCTTTGAACAACGCAGTTTTAACTCAGGGTTAACTAACCCTGGATTAAGGATTTTAAACCCCGGGTTAGCGCTAACCCTGGGTTAAAGTTAACCAGCTTTTGAACAACTGGCCCAAGTTTATACATATCTGTCCATACTTATCTGTGGCCCAGACGACCTTCTGTTTGTCATTATTCTGTGGCAAGGGCGAGGTAGAAATAGAGAGAATAAGAGATAACCGGGAAGTTTGTTGAAAACGAGGACATAGCGGACCGAGTGTTTTAACATAATTTCAACCCTTTTATATATTTAATTAAAATCACTTTTAATATACGATAATCATATATCTTCCAAAACCAAATAGTGAATGTAAATTTATAGAAATTTATTAAAGAGAAGAATCTATTATGTTGTTGTAGTTAATTAATAGCCATTAGACTATATTATAAAACAATTGTACCATTCCCTCTCATCGTATAGCAAATCATATACAACTCAAGCTCATGATATAAGTGTTAAATATATAATATGTATTTAATGTACTATATACAGAAAAACTAATTATTTAATCAAAGTCACTGTGAATATTGCATTTCATGAGCAACCATGTCTCGTGAAATATCTTGAACACTGCAACATCCTATTTAGAAAATAAAACAAAATATGTTGAATATAAAAGGACAGTATATAAAATGTGTGAAATATCTTTGTCAAATTATACATCCTTACCTGTAAGTCCCATGGCTAATTTAAATTCATCTTTGAAGATCTGTAGAACTTTGGCAACACCTTCTTCACCCTAGAGAGACAAGAATAAATTATTTCAAATTCTTGTACGGCTGGTGAAAATAATTAGGAAAATCTTTATACTCTACCTGATATGCCAGTCCCCATAAAACAGGTCTTCCTACAAACACAGCTCTTGCACCAAGAGCTAAAGCTTTAAAAGCGTCTGTACCAAACCTCACACCACTATCTAAATATACTTCACATTTCCCATCAACTGCAGACACTATCTCTGGCAACGCTTCAATCTAAAATACATGAGTATAGCTGGGTTACATTTCCTGAAAAAGTTCACTGAAGCAGCTTTGAACTCGCACATGGTGGTCAACCTGTGGTTATCAAGAGTGTGAAAATAATATCTCCCAAGTTTCAATAATTGACCACCATGATCTACACACGTAAAAGTTTCACAATTTGTCAACAAAATGTGTTTGCAACAGGCTTGTAGCCGAAGCTTGTCAACAAATTGTAACAATGCTGTTATTTTACCATGTCGCTACAAGCTTGTCGACTTGTGTGTTTTAACATTCTTATGTGTGTAATTAAAAGTTAGCAATAGTTACCGTAGCAGGCACAGTGTCGAGTTGTCGCCCACCATGATTTGAAACTAAGATACCATCAACGCCATACTGTACTGCCAACCTTGCATCTTCTGCAGTCAAAATGCCTTTTAAAACAATCTGTAACTTTGTCACCGACCTCAACCACGGAATAAGATCCCATGTTAGAGATGAATCAATCAATGATGCATAGTGACTCTTGACTCCAGTTTCGTTGGTGTAGTTGGCTAACGTCAAATGAGGGGGTAATGCAAATTTATTGCGAATTTCAGCATACTTTCGTCCAACATAGGGTGTGTCCACAGTCACTGCAATAGCTTTGAAACCTGCCCTCTCTGCTTTTCTTATCAAGTCTATTGTAACATCTCGATCTTTGCAGACATTCAACTGAAACCATTTTAATCCAGAGGAGGAACTCGCAACATCTTCAATGGTTGATGTTGAACCTAAACTTAGGGTCATGCATGTACCAGCTTGGTCAACAGCTAGAGAACAATTAAGAATTATTTTCTAGAAAGAAAGAACCAACTGTAGTGTACCCCCCCCCCCCCTTGAATTAGAAAGGCATTTCTTTATTATTATTGATCCAAGCGAAGTTTTCAGATTTCCTCACTCATTGGTTGACAGGGAATGTAAAGGTAGCTCCTTTTTCTCCTCAATTATTGTAAGACCTTCAAGTGGAGTTCAGACCAAGGATTGGACACAGGTGGTGACCACAACACCACAAGAGTTGGTAATTTAGGGGGGATTAGAGGGTGGGGGTTAGAGGGTGGGGATTAGAGGGTGGGGGTTAGAGGGTGGGGGTTAGAGGGTGGGGGTTAGAGGGTGGGGGTTAGGGGGAATGCATGAAATCTAGCTCAGAGTGAACTACCTTTCGCTGTTGCAATTTCTCCATCTGGATGCGCCATCTTCTGCATGGCAGTTGGAGCGACACAAATTGGAAAATCAATTTTCTCTCCAAGGATTGTTGTGGACATATCAATGCTTGAAACATCTCGCAGCACACGAGGACGCAACCTCAGTCTGTAGAAAAACATACACATGGCCTGTTAGAAATTAATTTCGAATATTATTCTAATTAATTCTAATTATTTCAGTCAGCAAAATGTAAACAAATTGAGCAAGTTTTTGAATTAATATTCTTTAACTCATATCGATCCGTATTACTTGATTTCCGAAGTATATGACGGAAAGTTTAAATATTACAGAACTCCGCGAGTATTTGCAGTAGAAATACAAAAATACCACCAAAAAAATCCGCTTGAAAAGTTCTATGAAATCGAACAATGTAAAATAGCCATAAATTATAAACTAGGCCTACTCGAACAATGTAAACCAACCATACCATACTATATAGTCGAAGAATGTAAACAATGCATCACTACGCCATACATTTCGCTGAATATAACTTCGGCCCCTTTCAACGTATCTTTTTGGTATTAGTCTTATTTGAAACACAATCCAACACACTATTTAGAGTGTTATTTTCAAGCTTGTATCTGCAGATTTGCATGTTTTATTCCGGTATTTCAAAATATCTAAAATATTTTACGCGAGAGCTTTGACCGGAAGTTCGAGTTCAAATATCCGAAACAATGCGATGTTTACATCCCATCACGCGGGAAACATCGGAAATTGATTCTAAAGGTCAAAGTACACACGTAAAAATCTCGTATCTTGTAGCAAGTTTGTCAACAAGATGTCAACAAGTTGTCTTTGCACAGCTTGTCCCAAGTTGTCAACAAGTTTGGAACAAGCTGTTAACAACTTGTAACAACCTTGTAGATATTATCAGGCTTGTTACAAGGTTGTTCCAACAAGTCTGATTCAGTCATGATAGAGCAGTATTGTTACAACCTTGTGTTGTCAACCTTGTAACATTCTTGTTATATCATGACTGTATCAGACTTGTTAGAACAACCTTGTGACAAGTTTGATAATGCCACAAAGCTTGTTACAAGTTGTTAACAACTTAATGTTCCAAACTTGTTACAACAACTGGGAACAAGCAGTGCGAACACAACTTGTCGACAGCTTGTGAACAGATTTGTAACAACTTGTTTGCAGACTAGTAGCAAACTTGTGCGTTTTTACATGTGTACCTGTGGCATGATTTTCACGTGCATGGGCCTACGGCTGCTCCTTGTTGGCCAATTTTGGCGTGTGGCACGCACATGCAAGTAAAAACCCGATATTTTGACAAGGGCGGATTTTCATTTTTTTTAAAGGAGGGGTAGAAACATTTCTGGTGGGGTGCAAGCAGCACTACTGAGCGAGCTACGGCAGGGTTTAGGCGTTAAGGTTAAAGACTTTCACACTAAATAGGAGGGGTGAAGCAAAATGTTGGTGGGGCTGAACACTTTATAAGTGGGGTTAGAGAGATTCTAGGAGGGGTTTAACCCCCCAGTAAATCCGCCCATGATTTTGAAAAATTCGAAATAAATATTTCTACTTGTCGTATTCAAACGAAACTTTCTACATAAAAGCGCTTGAATACAAGGAATATTTCACTGCTATTGACTTGGGCGAATGCTGAAGAGTTTAGAAGATATTCAAGTTTTTCTCGATATGAACTACAAAATGTTTGGCCAAGCGGTGAGCAAATAATATACGATGTTTTGGTTTTGTGTAATGTTATGACGGCATTTGACCCCCCGTTCGAAAGGTTATTTTATGAGGATTTCAACAGTGGTTTTCGTTTTAAAGGGGGGTAAATACTTGCAGAGATATTTTAAATTTTCTCCTCTCCAAAGTCGAAATATGTATTAATATGACCGGATTAGTAAACCTACAAGAATACAAAATATTTCGTACCTGTCAAAAGCACATCTGTTCTCTCTCAATGTAATCCCTTCATTCGCTCCAGAACAAATATAATCCCAGGTGTTCTTTGGGAGAAATTCTTTGGCATGATTTTCAAAATCAGAAATACACACTGGCTCTGACATTATTCCACATTTCGTGTTTCCACACGGAGACAGAAATTTCACAACCACTTCGACCATTCACAAATAGAGCATGACAGCCATTGACAGAGGGCCCCCTATACCTCTTCACAATATGCTTTCACGTAAAAATATTTTGCCTTTTCACGAGTCACGAAAAAATTCCTTCACGTTCACGGAAAAATTGAAGCGATCACGATTCACGTAAAAATAAAACAAAATTCACGAATTATTATATGGATGTCTTCCTTAATTGTAGATTCATTGTACTCGTCTGTACTTACCTCGACATGCTTTCAAACCTCCAACTATGTCGAAAACAGGCTTCTGTACATCAAGTACTTCAAAAAACAGCAACAAACCGTATTTATTCCTTGGAAAGCTGATCACACAAAAGGTCACAAAACAGATGATTCACGAATCCCGCATATTTCTATCTGCCATTCACGGGTCACGGTTAAATCGAATCTTTCCTTCACGTGCACGTAAAAAGATTGGAAGTCATACCATCACGAATCACGGATTAAGAAAATCATCGATCACGTTTCACGGCTAAGTAAAATAAGCCCATCACGCTTCACGCAAAAAGTATAGGGGGCCCTCTTGACAGGCTCCCAGGTCAAAATGAGGTTTTGATTCATGGTTGATGAAGATTTCGCGAATTGCGCATTGTGCGCGGGAAATGGGGATTGCATTCTCGACCAATCAGGGGCAGGGGCAAGGTAGAAATAGAGATAACAGGGAAGTGTGTTGAAAACGAGGACCGAGCACGAGGACCAAGTGTTTTAATATAATTTCAACCCTTTTATTTAAATCACTTTTAATGTACGATATTCATATAACTTCCCAAACCAAATAGTTAACGTAAAATTTGACTAAATTCGTGGAAATTTATAAAAGTGCTTATTGTCTTTATTTTGGCTGAACTGTCAAAACATTGCAACAGAGAATATATTATATTGCTGTAGTTAATAGTTGTTAGACTATATTATAAAACAATTATACCATTTGCTCTAGTCGTATATAGCAGCGCATATATGGCTCCAGCTTGTGGTATAATTGTTTTAATTTTAAAGGTGATCTACAGTCCGATCTGCGCATGTGCACAAATGAGCCCACTTTTTATGATACAGACAGTTTAACTATGTTTTGAGTTCTTGAAAAGCCTGATTGTTGTTTCTTGATCATTTATTATACTCTAGAAGCTTGAAAATATAAATAGTTGTCGAATAAAGCTCAATATTTTGGACACAAAAATGTAAACAAAGGCTTTGTTTACATACAGACTGTAGATCACCTTTAAAATATATCATATATATACTGTACTTAATTAATTAATGTACTATACACAGAAAACTAATTTAATCAAAGTTTTGAACATTGCATTTCATGAGCAACCATGTCTCGTGAAATATCTTGAACATTGCAACATCCTATTTAGAAAATAAAAAAATATGTTGACTAAAAGACAGTATATAAACGTGTGAAAGATCTTTGTCAAATTATACATCCTTACCTGTAAGTCCCATGGCTAATTTGAATTCATCTTTGAAGATCTGTAGAACTTTGGCAACACCTTCTTCACCCTGGAGAGACAAGAATCAATTTAAGTTCTTGTGGACAGAAGGATAGCGTGGATAATAATGTATACTCTACCTGATACACCAGTCCCCATAAAACAGGTCTTCCTACAAAGACAGCTCTTGCACCGAGAGCTAAAGCTTTAAAAGCATCTGTACCAAACCTCACACCACCATCTAAATATACTTCACATTTCCCATCAACTGCAGACACTATCTCTGGCAATGCTTCAATCTAAAATACACAAGTATAGCTGGGTTACATTTCCTGAAAAAGCTCACTGAAGCAGCTTTGAACTCACAGATGATGGTCAACCTGTAGTTATCAAGAGCATGAAAATAATGTCTCCCATGTTTCAATAGTTGATCTACACACGTAGTTTCCCAACTTGTCAACAAAATGTGTTTGCAACAGGCCTGTAGCCGAAGCTTGTCAACAAGTTGTAACAATGCTGTTATTTTACCATGTTGCTACAAGCTTGTCGACTTGAGTGTTTTAACATTTTTATGTGTGTAATTAAAAGTTAGCAATAGTTACCGTAGCAGGCACAGTGTCAAGTTGTCGCGCACCATGATTTGAAACTAAGATACCATCAACACCATACTGCACTGCCAACCTTGCATCTTCTGCAGTCAAAATGCCTTTTAAAACAATCCCTAACTTTGTCACCGATCTCAACCACGGAATAAGATCCCACGTTAGAGATAAATCAATCAATGTTTCAAATGAATCATAGCGACTCTTGACTCCAGTTTCGTAACTGTTGGTGTAGTTGGCATAGTTGGCTAACATCAAATGAGGGGGTAACACAAATTTATTGCGAATTTCAGCATATCTTCGTCCAACATAGGGCACGTCCACAGTCAAAGCAATAGCTTTGAAACCTGCCTTCTCTGCTCTTCGTATTAAGTCTATTGTAACATCTCGATCTTTGCAGACATACAACTGAAACCATTTTAATCCAGAGGATGCACTTGCAACATCTTCAATGGTTGATGTTGAACTTGAACTCAAAGTCATGCATGTACCAGCTTGGCTAACAGCTACAGAATAATTAATAATTATTTTCTAGAAAGAAAGAACCAACTGTAGTATACCCCTCCTCCCCCCCGCCTTGAATTAGAAAGGCATTTCTTTATTATCAATGCAAGCAAAGTTTTTAGAGTTCCTCACTCATTGGTTGATAGGGAATGTAAAGGTAGCTCTATTTTCTCCTCAATTATTGTATGACCTTCAAGTGGAGTTCAGACCAAGGATTGGACATGGGTGGTGACCACAAGGTAAGGGTGGTGACCACAACGCTACAAGAGTTGGTATTTTAGGGGGGATTAGAGTGTGGGGGTTAGGGGGAGTGCATGAAATCTAGCTCAGAGTGAACTACCTTTCGCTGTTGCAATTTCTCCATCAGGATGCGCCATCTTCTGCATGGCAGTTGGCGCGACACAAATTGGAAAATCAATTTTCTCTCCAAGGATTGTTGTGGACATATCAATGCTTGAAACATCTCGCAGTACACGAGGACGCAACCTCAGTCTGCAGAAAAATATACACATGGCCTGTTAGAAATTAATTTCGAATATTATTCTAATTAATTCTAATTATTTCAGTCAGCAAAATGTAAACAAATTGAGCAAGTTTTTGAATTAATACAAAATATTTCACACCTGTCAAAAGCACATCTGTTCTCTCTCAAAGTAATCCCTTCATTCGCTCCACAACTAACATATTCCCAGGTGTTCTTTGGGGGAAATTCTTTGGCATGATTTTCAAAATCAGAAATACACACTGCCTCCGACATTATTCCACATTTCGTGTTTCCACACGGATAGAAATTTCACAACCACTTCGACCATTCACAAATAGAGCAGCTTTTGTTTACACAACCACTTTCACAACCACTTCGACCATTCACAAATAGAGCCTCGCTTTCATGCATTGTCCAATCACCGTTCACTTGAAACATGAGAATGAGGCTTCCAGCCGGAGATGAGATTTTGATTGATGGAACACCGCGGAAAACGTCTGCGCATGCACCAAATTATGAAAATATGGCGGGGAATTTGAATATCAATTTCTAAACAGAGGCGTAGCCAGGGCTGGGGCCGGGGGACCCGGCCCCCCCTGGCAAAATTTTGGGCCCCTCCTGGCAAAATTTTGGGGCCCCCCTGATAAAATGTACTGTATAAAAAAGGGAATCCTTGATTATATAGCTTCATGCTGTCAATAATGCAAAAATTCTGTAGAATATATGCTTTGCTGGGCATCGGTGTGAAACCTAAAATCTTGTTCGCTTATTTGCAGCACACAGCTTGAAACACATACCTTTTCTAACCCTAATTATTTCAATATGTATTAAATGAGGGTTAGATGAAGTTTAAAACAATCTGTTTTTTTACAAGTGAATTTTTAATGCGGGTTCGGCAGTGGTGCCGTGGCCGGAGTTGGCGGGGGGGGGGGAAAGACCCGTCGGAAAATTGTCAATTACTTGCGCATACTGAGTTGGACGTCACTGGTGGTTGCTCAGCGTCTCTTCCCATGTGTTGCTGTTTATGCATACTGACCCTAATTCTTGCCCTGACCCAGAAAAAAAAACCAGCGAGACACTGAAACTATATCCCGTTTTTGTCCTTCTGCCTTCGTTCGGAACGAAGTTCACAGCGAATTTTGCCAAATTTTTTTCGAATTTTTCGTCCGACTTTGTTCTCTTGCTCAAACTATCTAATGTTGTCAGAATCTTCGTGGTGAAGCATCGGAAAAAGTGTTACGGAAATCGGAAAAAGTGCAACGAAAGTAATTGTAATGTTATTGTCCAGAAAAAGTTTTTACCGAAAAAATTGTCGACGGGGGACGGGGAGATTTAAAATGTTGTGTGGTCCGCAAAATCTTTTCTTGCGCGAACTTTGCGTCTCGAGTCACAGGCGGCTTGGCCCCACCTGGGTTTTTGCCGGCCCCCTCTGACCGAAAATCCTGGCTACGCCTCTGTTTCTAAAACAAAAACATGCTTATTAATTGGTCAAAAATTAGTAAAACAAACGAGAAAATATAGCAAATGGGTAGACTAGACATTAATTGAAATCGTCCTGGCATTTAAAGTATGGAATGAAATATAATTCATGTAAAAAAATGTTGATTTTAACGGACACGACTTCGAAATTTTTTGCAAAATTATTCAAAACAAAAATTCAAACTAAAAAGTCAAGAAAACTCTCGAAAAGTTAAGTTTCTTAACCCACTCAAATTGTAGAATAAATCCTGAAGTTTAATTATTGTGAACACGCAAATTTTTTATATTTGGCGACACAGTTTTTTTTTAAGAAATGTATCTCAAACGAAAATTCGGAAATTGTCATTGCTTAGTTGATAAACAAAATGTTTCAGACGATAAATTTGTCAACAATCACCTTTAGTTCATGTTCTTGTACAATACAATTTCTTGAACCTTCTGGCTGTATTTATTTCTAGTTTTTAGAATGACATGTTTATTTTTGCGCTTGAAATCTGGCCGTAAAGACGCACAATGAAGTCACTCCTTTTTACCGCCATTTTGAGCCTTCGGAAGTGGGGGAACGTTCGGAACAGCTTCTCATCAACACCGCGGAAAAACTTCTGCGCATGCGTCAACCTTACCTGAAAATGCTGAAATAGTATTGCGAACTTGATGAGATGAATTCTTCTCATCAAGTTCGCAATACTGTTACTATTACAGGTAAGGTTGACGCATGCTCAGACGTTTTTCCGCGGTGTTGATTGATGGTCGATGAAGATTTCGCAAAATGCGCATT